ATAAATTGTCTAGCACATAAAGTTTCAACTATTCAATAGAAGGAATGATATGATTAGCTTCTTCAGTGGTTTGTCTTTGAACTTCTATATCATCTTCAATAAATATCATAGCTTTTAATTCAGGCTCATCAAGTGAAAGATTAGTAATTTCTAATATTCTCATATCATCAAGAGACTCAAATCCATCTTGGAAATGAGAGAACTTTGCTCACAGCCGCGGAAGTAAATACGACACATCTTTTTTTTTTTTCGGATTTCTTTTTGTTTTTCAACGGACACATGTATCGGATACGCGTGTCCTTTTGAAAGTAAATAGTATTTTAATTGGATACGTCTTTGGCGTATCCGACACGTATCGGTGGAGTATCGGAGGCGTATCCGTGTATCGGTGTATCGGATACAGCACGCCTTCATAAATAGGTGTATCGGTGCAACATAGGTTATGATGCTTCTCTTTGAGTTGATGTCATTTTGAAACCCTTGTCTAATTTAAATCATGATTAGGTTAAATTGTGGTGTGTTACTTTGAGGGACGTCCTAACAAACACTTGTCTTCTTATTGCTACAATCAAGTTGATGCGGACATCCAACTGTCAATGCCTATCCGAGGAGGAGCTGAAGATTGACGACTGAGATCACTTTTTTTATTTTAGTTTATTAAGTGTATTTTGATTTAATTTTGCAATTTCCCTTTTTACCCTCTTGTCTTATGTAAGCCCAAGGGGCAAATGTGTCTTTTAATTTCTTTTGAGGCCTATGGCACCTTCTCTTGTATTAGGTATGATGGAATTATAATAAAAAAAATTTGTGTTTTGCACTTGTGTTCTTTGGGAAGAACGTTAGTGGAATCCCTATCGGAGGAAGTCGGAGTTTCCACCAGCCTCAGGATGGGTCCGGGCTCGTGGCTTGAAGTCCCTTGGAGGAGGGCAACGTAGCGCCCGTCAGTTTTTGGAAGAGTCCAAGGCTCGCTGTTTTATCTTTTATCTTTTGTTTTTGTTTTTTTTGTTCCTTCTTGTTGTTCCTAGTCATCATCTTCATCCTCTCCCTACCTCCACCATCACGTCGTCTCCATCTCCACCTTGCCGCCGGCCCCTTACCCGCCCCATTCAAACCGCCGGCCACACCCTCTCCCATTCCCCATTGCTTAATTTAGATAATTCCTAATTTTGGATTGCCATAATTTAGTTGGTCTTTGAATTTAAATTTTCCCAAATTTGAAATTCAAATTCTCCCAAATTTGAAATTCAAATTCTTTCATAAATTATAAAATCCATTTTAGGAAAGTTTTCATATTTTCTCTCCATTGGATTTTGAATTAATTAGGATGACTTAATTCATTCTAAATCCAACCCCCAAAATTAAGGAAGCATCAAAGCCTCCTTAATTTCCTCCTAATCTCTCCCTAGCCACCGGCCATGCTTGGCTAAATCCGCCGACCCCACTCCACTTGCCATACTTAGGATCTCCTAATTTAGTTTGAATTAATTTGGAATCAATTTGGAATCCAAATTAATTAAAATTCAAGATTCAAATCCTTCCATATTTAGCCACTTGTATTTTAGGAAAGAATTTGAATTTCAAATTCAAAATGAATTTGAAATTCTAACACCTTCATAAATAAAATCACCTAAATTTGGAAAGCCCCTTTAATTAGTAATCAATCACAAATCTGAGATTGATTATTCAATTAAATTTCAATTCCCCCACATTCATTGCATATAGACATCTCACCCTCTCTCTCTCTCTCCTGGCCGAAATTCCCATGGCCCCACCTCCTTTATTTCTTTCCAAAGATTAGGACTCTCCCTTTGGAATTAAATCCAAATCATCTCCTTCCCTCACCCCAATTAATTTAATTCTTGAATTAATGCACGGGAGGAGAGAGCCTTAAGGAAAGCTCTTGATCCCTGCTCCACCTCCTTCCCTTGGACGGATCAGCCAAAATTTGTTTTCCCATGAACTGAGTGGCTGTCCAAGCTTTCCTAAGCAATTGTAGGTGGCTGGCCAGAATTTTCCAAGTACCAAAGCTGCTATCTAGCAATCTTGGCAATCTCCTATTGCTGTCCCGCTGTCTCCAAATTACAGATTGCTGTCCAGCTGCATCCAGAGAGCTCGTGGTGGCTGTCTGCTTCCTCTCAAACAACTAATTGATCACCGGAGCTAGAGAGCCTGATTTTTCCCTGAACAGGGTTGCTGTCCTGTATTCTGGAGGCTGTTAAACTGCTGTCCAGCAGTTTTTCTGCAATCCCACACCAGCTGGCTAGCCCCGGAATTCGACCCATTACTGTCCAGGCTTTTCTGGACATTATTGGATTGCTGTCCTGGGATTTCCAACAAGAAGAGTTGCTGTCCAAGACTTCTAAGAACCCAAAAGCTGCTGTTTAGACTTCTGTATTTTCTCTTCAAGACCCATAGGATTCAATCCTCCTACCCATTCTACGTCACAAGTTAAGCCATGACATTTCGCTTCTAGGGAATGCCCTACAACTAAGAAAATTCAAAATTAGATTCTTTTTGTGAATATTATCATAAAATTGGGCTATCAACCCTTCTCATCTAGGCTGGCAACCAACAATAATAGTTTTATAAAAAAATCAATTCGAGGTCTCCTAAAGTCATCACAATGGGATACACCATTCAAAAGCATCTCCTGGCAAATAGAAGTTCAGTTTTTCTTGTTAGGCAATAATCTGTTAGAGACAACTTACAGACGGCAAAAGATAGAAGAAGATTAGAAAACACAGTTAATTGATCTCATTGAAACCAATGTTAGGATTAGTGCTTTCTTAGTGGATAGCCCGAACAAGTGCAATATATAAGTTTTCCATCCATGAAATTCTATTTTATGTGACTATTTCCTTTCTATCTTTCTTATTTGACATGCAAGTCTTGGAATAATAAAATGAAATTATTATTATTTTTTTTTCAGGGCGAATTGGAAAATTGAGCATCAAAATTCCTTGGAAAAGGCTAGGTTGGGAACCTATTATAATTGTGTTAGAGGATATTTTCTTATGTGCATGCCAGCGTGAAGATAATGAGGCATGTTTATTTTCTTGCATGTAACTGAATTCTTGACAATTTTTTACATTTTGAATGCATCTGCTTTTGTTATTTGGAATTATTGGCAATCAAAATAACATAATAATGCTTTTTATTAATAACTCCTTTTATTTGATAGTGGAGCGCTGATTCAGTGGAAATAAGAGAATTAGCTGGCAAAATGGCTAAACTCAATGCAATAGAACTAGCAAAATTTTCAAGACGAGTGTCAGGTTACCTTCCATTTCTTTGCCTTATTCTCATTGGTGTCATTGCTCATCAAAAGCTGAATTTTTTAATCTTTGGAAAAGTTTTCACTTATCCCACTCCGCTCTGTTACATATTTATTATTGTGCGTGCATAAACATCTCCTCATAGTGTTTTTAATATTGTGAGTTATCTCTGTTGAAGAATGATAGATGGAGTTAGTATTTAATCGCCCTCAGTTTTCCATTCATTCTTAATTTTTAAGATATGCCATTCAACACGTGGTTTTTTGTAGAATGAACCGTCTGAATACAATTCTAGTTGTATTTATCCTATTCTTCTAATCTTAACCATGATTTGCGTGTTTCCAAAAAATAATAATCTTACTAATCGTGTAAATGTTGTTATTGCTTGATAAATATGATTCCGCATATCCATTCAGGTAAATGTGATTATCTAATATTATGCAATTTGCACAAGTGGAAAAATGTGAATTTTTTCCTTATCTCATGTGTTACTTAAATGTTATATATGAACCTTTTTAGGGATTGTGGCTATATTGGTTATAGAAGATACTTCTGTTTAGGTTGTGATTGCAAGAAAAGCCGTAGGACTCTTGAGTGACAAAGCAAGTAAAACTTTGAGATGCCTGATATGGCCATATTGACGTTGTTAGTTCTTGTATAACAACGAACAATGCTCACGTACCAAGCGCATGTATTGCAACGTCCTTTTTGAAGGGCTGCAAGATTTGTTTGATATATAATTATATAGGAAGGCGGATGTTAAATATTTTTGAACTCTTCAAAGGGCAAAAGAATGAGCATTTTGTTGAATTATGACATTTTTTTTCAACTTGTCTTATATTTTTTTACTTGCGTGACTTCAAATACATTTTAAAAATGAATTTATTAAACTATAGCATGGGCATTGCATTGAAATCCTCTGCATTAGATTGGCATTCATTATATTTTTAAAGTTATTGGTTCATTGCTGCTGGGATATTCTAGGATGAGATTTTAAAAAGTAAAATAGCTCATCTAGTTAAGAACACAAATCCGCTTGATTGATGATGTGGCGGAAATAATGAAGGAATCAATGGAATGTATAATGAAGGGTTTGACTGCCCATTCATTTTATTATTGTATTCCTATTTGTGGTAGAAACAATAATGAAAGGTTTGCTCCCACAGAGTGGTGACTTTGAGGGATACTTGGTGCTAGAATGGAAGGAATATGGTATACAATTTTTTACTATGTGTGGTCGAGCCATTCCATGCATTTTTTTTCTTAGGAATTGTATAATTTCCTAATTTCTATGTGCATCACTTTTGTATAAGCATCCATTAACGGAATAAATAATCTAAGCTATCTAGTCCCCCCCTACTTTTTTTCTATATTGGTATTTGAGAAAGGTTAGGGGCATCTTTTCAACTTTTATTTTATTTTTTTCTTTAGTTCATTCTTGTTGTCCTAATTATATCCGTTTTTTTTTTTCAACTCAATTCCAAAGGTTGACCATCATGAATGGTGAAAATCAAACTCCTATTAAAGGAGAATTTTGCTGATACATTCCTCATATCATTTGAATAGAAGAAACTACTTAAAAGTAATCTTAGATTGTAAAAATGTTTTTGAAAGTAAAAGGAAAAATCCTTATCTTCTTGATCCTTCTTTGGATTTGAAAGACTCAAAGTATATATTTTAGGATTAAGCATATTCCATGTTTATGTCATGATTATGAAACTACATGATGCATGAAATTAGCGAGCAATACAATCATTTGCAAAAGTTGTCAAATAGTCTTACTCAAAAGTTACTAATCCCGCTCTGATCTATAAGATCAAGATGAAGCTCTCAATAACCAAATTAGTTAACTGCCGTGTCATTGAATATTTCAATTTAATGAAGGTCTATTCATTAGAGTTAGATTACTACCCGGATTTTAAGATGAAGTGTAATTATATTGTTGTTGTTTTAAAATAATATGTAGAAAGATAAATAGTTTTCTGAGTTTCTTGAGAACTTAATGTTGAATTCAATCAAGCTTGTATTCAAATCTTGAGCAGAGAGAACCTAATATTCTTAAATGAGGTCTTCTTGTTTATGCAAATCATTTAAGGAATAATGATGGTAATGCTTAACGCTCCCAAATTTGAAATGTTAGCCATGATAATTACAAAAACTCATGGAAAATGACTTATTAGCCACTGAATCTTCCCAAAAAGATTGAAAAAGTTTTTTGCTAAAAACAACTAGTGGTGCGATTATTTCAAGAAAACAAGGCATATTGGAGAGAAATGTTAGAAGCTCCATGGAAAGACCCAAGGCTATGGTGGAAACAAAGAAGGCCAATTAAAAGGGTATACTTAGCTCATTGAATCTGAAGGGCTCAACTTTGGAGAAGTTGACAAGAAACTTCCTCAACTTATTAGAAAATTTTTTGTGTCATATTCTTTAGATCAAAATGATAATAATTCTATATCTTATACCTTTAATGCCTCAAGTGTTTCCCCTAAAATCTGGATACTATATTCATGAGCCATTGATCACATGACAAACATTGACAATACTTTCCAAACATACGAATTTTGTGCGAGCAATAGAAAAATAAAAGTAGCCGATCGCTCCCTAACCATTGTTGCATGTTAAATGAATATTCCTATTTATCTTGCACTTACTCTCAATGATATATGCTACATATTTCTAGCCTTGCAGTATATTTTTTATTTATTCATAAAACCTCAAAAGATCATAACTGCAAAGTAGCTTTTTTAACTAATTATTGTGTATTTCATAACTCCACAACGGGGAAGAAGATTGAGTTAGCTAGAGAATAGGATGGGCTATAGTTATTATGCTCCTTCATCTCTATTCTAAATAAAAACATCATTTGGGATTATTAAATATAGACTAAGGTATCCCTTATTTAAAACCCTACCATGCATATTTCATTCTCTTCTTATAAATGTTTAACATTGAAAACTTTTATTATGAGTCTTGTGAAATTGCTAAACATCTTTATTAAACTGCTCGTTCATAAAAACTCAATAGGAAAGATCATATGCAGCAGAAGTAAACAAGAAAACCCCAAAAGGAAGTTCAAATTGGATAAAAATCAGCACCTCAAAGTATTAAAAATTTACTCTCAATTATTAGGCTTCACATTCCCACAATCGTGCCAAGAATTACACATCTACAAAATCTAAGAAGGAAAATCATGCCAAGAAAAGCTGACGTAATAGATTATATGCTACAAAGATGAATTTAGGAAACATTAAAATCAGCTTGGTACCATTGATTTTTCTTTCATACATGTGCTACTTCACAATACGATTGGTAGTAATTCTATAGGTGGGGTTAAAATTAGAAAAATAAATTTCAGCACCCTCATGCATCTTTCTATATATGTATAAGAATGTTTGGTTCAATGATTGATATTAATGGTTTAGGTCAAAAGTGCCAGAATGGCTAATATCTTCTTTGATTTGAGTGTCATGCGATCAATAGACATATGGTTAATGTTTTTTTTCTGCTGCATTGAATAACTTCCGCATTGGTTTATCTTTGGGAATCCTAGCTGCTTTCTTACCTGTTGAAAAGGACCTTTTCCTAACTTTCTTTTGTGACATCCTTCTCAAACTATAATGCATCCTAACTCTCTTATTTGACATCCTTCTCAAACTATACTGCATCAAAGATTCTCATAAGCTTATTGAGATAAACCTTCTATCCAGATAAACCTCTGCATCTATCTAAATGAGCTTAATCTTTCTGTTGTTATAATTTATGGGGAGAAATCTGTTTCTTTGGGTTGATCTTTCTATTTTTGATTTTAATTATGTGCAGACAATCATGCTGGACAGTCCTTCATAACATATATCTCCACGAAGGTGAGCATACTAAGTGTTTTTATATATTTCTGAGCGGATTCAGAATTGTAAATTGTTAAAATATTTCCTAAATTGTTGCTCTCTTTAATTTGTTTATTCAGATTCTAGAAAGCATCCAAGTGTCAATAAGGAATGTTCACATCGTATACATTGATTCTCATAATTACCAGGTATTTCGATCAAGTGTAGTAAGATTCATTCTTTTGGTTAGTCACCTTCTGGTTATGGTAGCTCCCTTCTTACTTCATAATCAGACTTCATGTCTATAAATATTGTCGACATGGTGCAGACTATCCTCAATTAGTAAATTAGTATTTTCTGTTTGTTTCTCCATGATTTTAATTATGTAAATGTACAATTCAATAAAAAAAAGGGAAAAACAACAATATAAAATAAACTAGTACAAAAACATATAAATAAATAACTAAAAAAAAATCGTAGCCGTTGATCTCCGATGTCCTCATCACATCATGAATGATTTATCAACTAGTTTGCTTGCTAAAAAACTAAAACTTGTGAATTAAAACCCAGTCAAGTATCACTAAAGCATAATACATACCGGGGTAATGAATTAAAATATGTAAAGGGCATTATAATTGATACAAAGTGCTATTTGGAGAAAGTAATCTATGGATTTTTTATTGGTTCAAGTGGTCAACAAGTTTAGGCTTCATTTTGGTCGTTGCTTTCTAGGAAGTCAGCTGTGTAACTCTTGTAGATATAATGCTAAGCATGAGCTGCTACAGCTGTTGCTGTTGTTTAGTTTCAAACTCAGCTAAGCATGAGATTCAATTGGTGGTTGTTGCTTTCAGGGAAGTCATATGGAAATTTGTACTGTTGGGATGCTTTTTTTTAGCTCAGTGAGTGTTTTGGTTGTTTGATTAGATTAGTTTGCTGATAGTATTTCAAGAAAAAAAAAAGATTGAAATAGCAATATATTAATGAAGACATCTGACCTTGGAGAGTCTATCAGAGGCATGGCCGTCGATCTACGGTCACGATTGCACCACTTTACTTTTGATTATCATTGTGTTAGATTTATTATTGATGTATTAGTTTATGAGTTTTATTGTACTTTTCCTTTTATGCCCCCACTTGAGGGCCTAATCATGTGTATGCCCTAGGGGCAAGTTGGTCTTTGTATTTTTCTTCATTGTATTTGCTATTTAAAGCTCCTCTTCCTCCTTTGAGGGAGCATGAATAATATTATGAAATTTCTGCACTATTGTGTTTTGAGAGAGCTTGAGAGCTCTTAGAGAGATTAAAGTCCCTAGGTGAGGCCACACAATACCCACCAACCGCAGGAAGCGTCCGGGTTCGTGGTCGACGTCATCGCTCCCCATCCTCCCTCTCTTTCCCTTCAACCGCCGGCCAAATCCCCTCCTCCCTCCCTCGGCTGAACCCCACCCTCCTAGCCGCCGGCCACCCATAACTCCCTCCTCCCCCTCTCGGCCGAAACCCACCACCACTACAACCCAACTGGCCACCCCTCTTCCACCTCCAAACCACCGGTCACAAAGGGCTTTTCCCCTCCCCCATAGCTGCCAGCCCCATCTCATCCCCTTGCCTCCCAAACTCAAATTCTTATTTACTACTTTCCATATATTCTACATCTTAATTTAGGGAAGTTTTAAAATTTCAAATTCAAATCAATTTTGAATTTGAGATCCTTTCCTAAAATAGGATAACTTATGTTAGGAAACTTTATTATATGCTCACAATTAAATCTAATCATAAATCTATCCTATTTTTCCCTTTCCTTATTCATAATTCAAGTTTGAAAACTCCCTTAAATTCCCCACACCCTTTCCCCGCCTCTATACCCGCCGGCCTCCCTTCTCCTCTCCCTTCCTTTTTCTCATTCTATGTCCATTATTACCTCCCCCAATTATATCCCTTGTCATTTAAGGGATATATGTTCTCTTTCCAATAGCTGGCCACATCAACCCTAGCCGCCTAGATCCGCTTACAGTTGCTGTCCAGATTTCGGAACCAAGGGATTGCTGTCAAGAACTCCAAGATCAGCAATATTGCTGTCCCAAATAGTTCCTGCTTGCTGTCCAGTAATAAATCAGGTGCTGTCCAGAAATTCCTGCACTCTTCCTTGCTGTCCAGCCGATTGGAGAGGCCACCGATCGCTGTCCAAAGGTTCCCGAACATTGAAGTTGCTGTCCACTGATGTATGACGGATCCTAAACAAGATCACGGGTTTGTTTACGATGACCAAGGCCACGTCGATATCCTCAACTCACCGTTCTTGGACCTAAACCTGAAGATTGACCAAACTATAGAGGAATACGTAGAGAGGATCGTCTTCACCCTCGCCGGAGCCATCGACGTCCAACTCTCCTCCGTGCAGTGATAGATTATCTCCAAATCCTGACAAAGGTAAACTCTTCCTCCGAATTTTATATCTTCCGGATTGCTCTCAATTGTGGTCATAATTTATTCACAAAGGTTGTGTTAACTCCCTCAGCTAAGCCTAGTATTCTAAGGAGTTGAGTGAGAGATCTCTTTCGTAGTGACTAATCTCATTGTTAATTTAGGGATTTCCCTTTGAAAATCTTTCATGTATGCTATGCTTGAATAATTGATTATTTTGTGATCTTAACTCCTAGTTGTGTGACTTGACCTAAGCTAGTTTCACTTCTCTTTTTTTTTTTTCATGGTTTAAAATCACTGCAAGTTTAAAATTAATATTGCTCTCAAATAAAAGCGTGCAACTTTTTATTTAATATTGTCTAAGCATTTAAGTCCTACATCATATATTGTGACACCGGTTGAATGGAAATAAAGAAGGTCTAACACTTTATATCATAAAACAACATGGTAAAGTGTTAGCAACTTCAAATTGAAGAGGAGGAAAAAAAATCAGGATTACACAAAGATGGCAGACGTTACAATCACCAAACTTCACCAACAACTTGCTGTCCTTCCCCAAACTTGGTTAAAATCAGCTCACTGGAGTTGGCCCCAAGTCAGTTGGGTGCTTCTAAAGTGACAGCTGGCCCTTTTGGTGGTTTCTCCAAGAGCTTCATGCTTCTACAATCCTTTGTGTATCTAATACGGAGGGAGTTGGCAGATTAACTGAAAACCTGCAGCCACTCCAAGAAAACCAAACATTTTTCAATAGATAACTATCCCTATTGCAAAGAAGTAATATTATGGAAGAAAATATATAAACATAAAACCTGATAAATGTTTTTTGCACTTTAAAGGCCTTTTTCTTAATCCAACAACCAAAACCTTTGGAATTCTTGGATTCTTGTCATCTTATTGCTCTCAACCTCAAGTAACTCTATCCAAACCTTTCCTAGAAGATTTCTAACATAGGATTAACTGGATGGCAAGCTACATTAATGAAAGTTCCTTGGCAAAGTTGCTGGACAGACACGTATGAAAGGTTCCACAGTGGACTAGGCTGGAAATAAGCCTCGGTGGCAAGGGGCAGCAATCATTTGTCCTGCAAGACTGCTGGACAGCCAACTAGGAAAGGATTCACGTTGGACTGGGCTAAAACAGATCTTGGCAGCAGGGGAGCACCGATCTAGGCAAGATTGCTGGAAAAAAACCCTCCTGGAAGGATTTTCTTTGGTATACTGGACTGAAACAGGCCTTGGCGCCAAGGACCGCAGTTGTTTTTTCCCTGCTAGAATGCTGTACGGCCACAGGTGGAACAAGAATGGCTTGGGTGTTGACTTTGGCAGAATCCTAGATCCCACTACAACCCCTCTGCTCTCCTCTCCTCTCCAAATTTTAGCGGATATTCACCCCAAGTATAGGAATTCCTTACCTCTTTTATGACTATCCTAAACTAATTGTCAAAAGAAAAAAAAAACCTTTTCTCAAAAGAAGAGGTATTTATAAGCAACCATAAAACAAAAGAGGGCAACAAATTATTACACTAAAAAAAAAAGAAAACAAGATGATGTGATACAAACAAGAATTGCACGGAAATATTTAAAAGGATTACAAAGCTTGCTACTTAAGATTAAGATTTCGTAAGATTAGATTAGAGAACTTTCAATCGTCAATTTTATTGTAGTAGGCCGTTACAAATCAAAAGTTTAAGCAAGTTAAGATAGATATGAAATTATCACAGTAAAACAAACATGTAGTAATACAATCTCACGGTTAATATTTAAAAATTTCATTATGAGGTACCATGCTCACTTACACTCAAAGTATGGCTTAGCGGAGAAAGATCTTCAGCACACCCAACGAAGCCACGAGGACGGTCACAACGCCAATGGTCTTAATCAACGGAAAGGTCGACGGTGGTGGAGAGGTAGTCGGAGGTGGAGGTGGCACGGGTGGATGGCCGTTGATGGCCCACTCGTAGTCCGAGAATGGATCTTCGATGATGTCCACGAGGGTGGGGAGGATTCTGTTCAAGTAATCTTCAACGGTGTTGTCAAAACCAAACCCGATGTCGAAGAATGGTGATCGAACGATGTGAATGTCTCCGTAGGCGTCGAGTACGAATCCACTATCAACTTCGGGATCGGCCATTCGACTTTGAAGAGGAGATGTGAGGACATCGTCTTCTTCTTTGGCTTCAAAATTCCCAAGGGGGAGCAAGGAGAGGGGCGGCCAACGTGGAGAAGGGAAGAGGGGAGGGGTCGGCTAAGGAGGGAGAATTCCGGTTTGGGCCAAGAGAGGAAAATAGCTTTTAATCCAAACCTGAAATTAATTTCAGGCTTTGATTAATTTGGAGGGAAATTAATTGAGAAATTTGAATTCCAATTGATTGTAATCAATGCCTTGATTGTGCATTAAATGGAGAGGAGCCCTAGTAGGGCCGGCGGCATGGAGAGAGCGAGAGGAGGGGGATTAAGGGGAATTAAGTTATTTCCAAATAGAATCGGATAATTGGAGGGAAATTAATGAGTCCTCAAATTAAGATTCATTTGAATTTTGAGTTTGAAAACTTTCCTTATTTAGATCTCGCAAATAAGGAAAGTTTTTTTTTGAATTTCAAATTTTGAATCTCGGGGGGGGGGGGGGCTTTGCCGTCGGGTGAGATGGGCTTGAAGGTGGTTGTATTTGATGTGGTGAGGCTAGTGGATGAAATGGTGGAGGGTTAAACCACGAGTAGAGATTGTCTTGGGGAGGGGACGGTGGATGGGGGGGGGGAGAGGATGAGGGAACAAACAAAAGATAGGAGAAG